CCTTGGCAAACAGAGCCCATTCTTAGGTCCCTGGAATTTGAATGAGAATGCTGTCACTTTAAAATTCAAAATGGCCACCACTTGTAAAGATTCAAAATGGCTGAGCTTTCGGTCACTTTAAATATCCAAAATGGCCGCTGCTTGTAAACAATCAAAATGGCTGTGCCCTCTGGACAGCGGAAAGTCCAGAGCTTGTCTCCCTCCTTGGTATTTCCCTTACTAGTCACAGGCCACCAGTGCCAACCTTTAGGTCAATTCTCACGTCCCAACACCACTTGGAAATATTCAGGCTGTTGGTCCCATCAGAGTGCTGACCGTCCACTGCTCCAACTGTCTCTATGCCCACTGTTTTCATTTAGGTTTTTCCAGTAGTTGGTGCCTCATCCACTTCTATGTACTTCCTTTCAAAGCTCAGGGCTCCAGGATTATCTTCTGCATCTCTGTCAATCAGTTTCTCTTTTCTTTGTTGAGGAGGGTCTGTGTGGCTTATCTGCCTATTCCTCCATCTTACCGGAAGTTTCTTCCACTTCCCCATCTTAAAAGGAGATCCCTGGAGTTCATCACTAAACTGTACTCTTTCTCTCTGTCCTTCCATGGCACCCAGAAGCACTTCTCTTGAGCAGGATGGACAGAGGGGGGAAAGCAACTTGGGGACTTGCAGAAGTCCCTGACCTTCACTTGCCTTCCTGGGGGGTCCCCACTGGATGGAGACTGTCCAGGGAGTCCCCACTGGAAGGAGGCTGCTGGCCACACATCTGGGCCTCCTGTTCTGGTGGGTATCACTGTTTTCTGTCCCCATGCCCAACCCCGGTACAGCCCTGTCAAGGACTGACCCAGGCACACTAGTACCATCCACCTGCTTCTACCTTGTGCTGCTCCAGAGCCTCCTCTGGAGGTTGATGGCCCTTTGGCCACTGTGGGCTCGGCTGCCATCTGAAGGCAGCCTGCCCTGTCCATCCCGGCCCCCACTGAACCACTGGCCCCTTGGCCTGGTCCAGGTTCTCTGGGGAAAATGGGCAGATTTAACTCTCGGCTTTAGGAGCCTGATGAACATACTGGTTTTGTCATCCAGGGTTTTGTTGTCTACTGGGAAGAATGCTGCTATGGGCTCTTACATGTGAAGGCACTACAAGAATGCCTCAGCCACTGGGCCCCAGGGTGTCCCTCCCAAGGAGGCTCACTTCTGAGCCACTGGGCCCTGGGGTGACCTGTCCAGGGAGACTCAGTCCTCAGACACTACGCCCTGGGATGACCCTTCCAGAAGGCTCTGTATGGATCCTGGGGACACTTTCACTCATAGGAGAGACCCTCCTGGATGTGCAGTTGGGCCTCGCTGTCCTCATACATAGGGCCTAGGCCCTAGATCAGTCAGGCTCTTGTCTTCCCCCCTCCCTCATCCCTGTCCAGGCCCTCTCTACCACTTCCTCCATCCCCAATACCCTCTGACCATGTCCCTCCAATGTCCTGGAATCCTTTCCTAGAGGTATGTCTAGTGTCTACCCTCCCTGCAAGCCAAGAGCTTGCAGCAGGAGCGGCAGGTACAGGCAGCTCCTCTTTTGATGACCACTATATCCTCGGGCCTCAGCACAGTGCCAGTACATAGCAGATTCTTGGTCAGTAAACACTGAATGAATGAATGTGTGCGTGCTGGCCGGGTTTCTGGGCCGACAGCCCGGGTGTGGCCGTACCTGGTTCTCCTGGTTCTGTTTTTGCCGATGCTGCTCCATCCTCCTCTCAAGCTCCAGCTCCTGCACTGACAGCATGTTCTGGTGGGCTTCCCAGAGCCGTATGGCCTCCTGGAAGTAGTTGAAGAGATCCAGGCTCTGCCACTCCGTCTGCTTTGCCAGGACCTCGAAGGATTTCTGCCATGACAGAACCCAGAGAAAAGCATTGAGAGCCCAAGACCTAGGCAAAGAGAAGGGTCCCACCCACGGGGTCCCCTGGCTGGTCAGTGGAGGACTGACTATCTCCGCGTGGGCACCATCCCTCAAGCTCAACTTCTAGGCCACACCTGTGCCACGGCCCTCCTTCCCTGAGGGCAGCGTCACTGCTGGTCTGCCCCAATGTCACGCTTCACCACTGCCCCTGGAGTTGGATCTCTAGACCTGCCCTATGTCCCACTGAAGCCACTGACAAGATGGTGTTTAGGGCCTGGGAGAAGGAAGAATTGACCCTAGACACACCTGCAAACACAGGCAAGTGACACCAAAGCTGGCCTGAGCGGCTTTCCTTCTTGGAGCTCTCACCTTACCAACTCTGGGCAAAACCTTCCCTCTGCTGTTGAACACCCCCACAATTCATTGTGCTCCCTACCCCACTTCATTGTTGCAGTCTTTTAATATCTTCAGCTGAACCTCCTATCCTCACCTGAACTTGGCCTTGGCAACTCCAGCCTCCCTGTTTGTTGAAGGGCCTCAAGAGCATAGCACAAGTTTTTAATTTTTAACGGTTAAACATAATCAAAAGAATAGTATTTCATGACACGGAAGTGATATGGAATTCTAAGTGCAGTGTCCATAAACAAACTTCACTGGGACAGCCACGTCCGCTCACTCTCATCCTGTCTGTGGCTACTTCTGGGCAACAGTGCTACACTGAGAAGTTGGAGAGAAACCCTCTGAGCTGCAGAGCCCACGACACATGCTACCCGGGCCTGTAATCTGCCGACCCCTGCTCCAAATTAGACACTTCTTAGGAGTGGACACTGACTGCTTCTTTGTAGCCCTCCTGGCCTGGAACCCTGGCTGTAGGGGGCTGGTCCTAGAGGAGCTACTTACTAATGGCTGCAGTGAATGGACACACACGTGGCACCCTGTATCAGAGCCCCAGACTGGCCGTCTCACGCCCACCACCCTGGTCCCAGCTGGCGGGTCCTCGGCTACGCACGTCCATGAACTCTAGCTCCTCCTCCACCTTGCTCTGCAGCACGCCCACCATCTGGAAGAAGGACGGGCTCACCAGGTTCTCGGCCTCCTCCTCAGTGAAGACTTTCCAGTCCAGCAGCTGATTCTGAAAAAAGACCCAGGAGGAGTGGGCTGAGAGCAAATGTGGGCTCAGCCTTCCACTCAACCTGCTCCTGCTCCTACCCCTGACCCCCATCTCGAGGACTCTCCAGGGAAGCCCCAACCTCAGTAGACATGGCCCATCATCACACACTGAGCACTGTGTCCAGGAGCCGTGAGCGTGCTGCCCCATGGGGTGCCCTGGGTGACAGATGAGCATGCTGAGACCCAGAGAACTGAAGTAACCCACAGGTGTGAGGGGCGGAGCCAACAGCAGCTTCTCTGGGCGCAGCAGGCTGGGCCCTCCTAGCTCGGGGCCTCCCACTGCCACCCGGAGGGGTTGGAGCCATCGTCAACCTCCTCAGACCTTTGCTGAACTTTTCATCCACACAACTTTACAGAGGCAAGTGGGGGTGGAGGTGGGGGCAGGAGGGGCCATGGTGGCTACTATCTCCTTCTCCCCAGAAAAACCGTCATTGTCACTGAGGGGTTTACAGCTGAACTCACCGTCTCACCCCGTTACAAGGACAGGAAGGACAGAGAGGACAGCTACAGCCGCAGCGTTATTTATAAAACAAGAAGATGGAAAAGCCCCAACACAGTCTCCATCAAAGACACCACGTCATACGTGATGAGTGATGTGGGGAGCGAGGTGGGAGTGAGCAGAGATCACGTGATGGCATCTGTGAGGTCAGGCAAGGCTTCCTGGAAGGGCTATGGGGGGCAACCACATGAGGGAAGGGTGGACATCACTGGAGGACAGGCAGAGAGGGAAGAGTGGTCCAGGCTGAAGCCCCAGAGGCCAGTGAGAGCCCAGGGCCTGTGAGGAAGGGAGAGCAGGGAGGGGGCGGGAGGGTGGAGGGGTAGGGTCGGGGAGAGTGAGGCTGCAGAGGGGCTGGGGATGGAGGGGAACATCGGCACCCCACCCCTAGTTCATCTCAAGACCCCAGGTGGCAGAGCCCACCTTGCACGTCTGCACCTGGGCCAGGCACTCCTGCCAGGTCTTCTCATACAGCAGGTGGATACGCGCCATGCACTCCACGTGGTAGGTGTCTCGGGGCAGAGGGTGTGGAAACAAGACATGTCAGCTCACTCTCCCAGCAGGAAGAGGGAAACCAGAAAGCGGGGTCGCTCCTGGGCAACAGGAAGCAACCCTCCCCCAGCAAAGAGCCCCCACAGCTAAACTGAGGGAAGCCAAGACCAGTGGTCCCGACTCAGACCCAGTGCTGGGTGCTCCCCCAAAGTCCCTGACACCCCACTGAGTGTCTTGACAAGGGCTCAGATGGCCTCTTTTCTGAATTCTTTCTGGTCCCAACTCTTGACTCAATTTCAAGACTGGTGAAAATCTTTTTGGGGAATTGGGTCAAGCCACACAATGGGCATTATTAATGTGAGTCCACACATCATGTCTGTGATTGGTTCCCTAAGATGTGGGGACTTGCAGGACTCTGGGAAAGTTGTTCATTCTTCTCCTTTTGACTCTCCCCCCTTCCTGTTGTTTCCCAGTTTATAATAAACTTGGTGTGACTCTTGGGGTCTAAGACACACAATGCAACATTATTCTTGTTCCTTACAGTTTCTAGAAATGGAAAGACAACACAATGATCCTGTGGTGGTTGTTTTTTGACAAAGGCTGTGGAAGGGGGGAAGGGTGGACAGTGGTTGGGTGTAGATTCAGGACATTGGGGATGGGAGAGACACTCTGGACCTGGTGAGAAGAAGCTCTCCAAGTGACTTGCTCCCTCCCAAGAGTCACTTCTAGTCCAGAGGACCCTCACCCTTCCCAAGAGGTCACTGTGACAGACCTCTGGTGGGTCCCCTGCTTCACTCCTTCATTTGATTCATCTGCACCCCAAGCTCAGAACTGTCCACTGGGCACCTACTCCACCTTGGTTGAAATCAGACCCTTCATGTGGGCAAAGGGCCTGCATACTGGCCTCCCACATCTTCCAGCCTCCCTGTCATTTTCCTTGAAGGCCTCATTCAGCTCTATTAGCCTTGTCTCACTCTTCCCTCCACACCCCCTTCCCTCCTGCCCCAGGACGGACTTGTTCCCTACTTTCTGAGTTCATAACAGAATCTCAAATAACTAGTCACTGACTGGCTGAAGTTATTACAAAGCCACTACTTGAGCAGAGCTTTGGAGAGACCCATGAGGATCCTACAATCACCACTCACCCAGTTGCTTATTCAGGGCAATGAGAGAAGAATACCATTCAGTCAGACGAGCTTTGCTATAAACGGGAGGCAGAAGATCACTGGGGAAGAAGATATGGCAGGTAACCTACACTTGAATAAAATGTGTAAAAAGTTATTAACATTATGATAACTTCTAAGACATAGCCAGACATTCTGAAGGAGTGAGTCACTGGGCCCACAGGCTCAGGACATGGTTGTGGGGGACATCAAGCTCAACTGGCATAAAACACTACACACACACATTCTTCTACATCTACTTTGGTGAGTAGCAACCAGGGTCTTAAAAGCTTGCAAGCAGCCATCTAAAATGCAATAATTGGTCTCTCCTTGTCCAGAGAAAAGAAGAATGAAGAAAACTAAAGACATATGGAAACAATTAGCCCAAGGAACTAGCAGACCATGTGAACCTCAGCCTACATGACCTTAGACCAGAGGAACTAGATGGTGCCTGACTACCACTGTCAACCACTCAAAAAGGGATCAGTGCAGGAGATACTGGATAGAACGGGAGGAAAATGTGGAACAAAACTCAAAATAAAAAAAGACCAGGCTTACTGGTCTGATTGTTGTTGTTGTCAGGTGCCACTGAGTCCACTCTGACTCAGCGACTATATGTACAACAGAACGCAACACTGCCCAGTCCTGCACCAGCCTCACAATCCTTGCCATACCTGAGCCCATTGTGGCAGCCACTGTGTCAATCCATCTCTTTGAGGGCCGTCCCCTTTTTTGCTGACCCTCCACTTTACCAAGCATGATATCCTTCTCAGGGAATGGTCCCTTCTGACAACATGACCAAAGTAGCTGAGACGAAGTCTGGCCATTCTCGCTTCCAAGGAGCATTCTGGCTGCACTTCTTCCAGGACAGATTTGTTAGCTCTTCTGGTAGCCCATGGTACTTTCAGCATTCTTCACCATCACTACAACTCAAAAGCATCAACTCTTCTTTGGTCTTCCTTATTCACTGTCCAGCTCTCACATGCATATGAGGTGATTGAAAATACCATGGCTTGGGTTATGTGCACCTTAGTCTTCAAAGAGACATCTTTGCTCCTAAGCACTTGAACGAGGTCTTTTGCAGTAGATTTGCCCAGTAAAACATGTTAAATGATGTCTTGACTGCTGTTTCCATAGGCGTCGATTGTAGAATCAAGTAATATGAAATCTTTG